GAGCCCGATGCGGGACTCGATCCAGGGACTCCAGGATCATGACCTGAGCCGAAGGCAGTTGCTTAACCAACTGAGCCACCCAGGCGCCCTGCTGTTATAATATTTTAAACAGAGCTTTAAAATATCTTTGGCTGAATGAAGAATAAAGAACTTGAAGTTTTCCTCTCTGCCAAGGATGATACTCAGGATTTTAGACCCTGAGGAATATCTGAAACTTGGCTTTTCCATCAGAGATTATGGGCTCTCAGCTGTCTGATAGAAGATTTAAAGGCAGGAGATGTGGGGATATAAAGAACCCAGTGAGGCTTTATTACAGTGAAGAGAATGAATATCCTTCCAGTATCAGGGTTCATGATTACCTGTTTTTAAAAGTGAAAACCAGCAGTGGCAACTTTTAAGTATAGAATGAAGTGCCTCACTAATCTCTCATTTTTATTTTTTACCTGAAATTTGTAATCCATCTAAGCCTTTGCAGGGCTAACCCTCTAGCAGCCCTGGGCCTCGTGAGTTGTCAGGAAGCTCGCTGACACTCCTGGGCCCTGTGGCTTCCGTAGGTCTTCATCCTGCAGCTGGAAGGAGAGAAACGCTGGCGTCTCTATCACCCCACTGTGCCCCTGGCCCGGGAGTACAGCGTGGAGTCCGAGGACAGGATTGGGAGGCCAGAGCTCGAGTTCACACTGAAGGTACGGGACTTCCATCATGGCCACTGCTTCTGACACAGGGTCTGGTCTGGGGTTTAGTGTGTGTGCGGGGGTCCCCGTGGGAGGAAATGCAAGAGCGTGGGCTCGGGCTGGCTCTCGCTCGCTAGCACGTGCAGCTTCTAAAGGAGACTTGATGTTTGTACTGTAGAACTGAGCTGAGGAGACGTTAAGTTCATTTTCCAAACAAGTTGTCTCCAAATGTAATCCAAGTTCAACAGAAATGGACTGTGATTTCGTTGACCACTGACTTCTCTAGAGAAGAAGTGGAAAGTTCGGCCTTGGGCAGCTTCACCAAATCTAAGCCAGCTGTCGGGACCGGGCTGTAGCTTGCCTAGGCGGAGCACAGCCAGGGACCCCTTAGTTTTTTTGTTGGGAAAATTCTAGCATGACCCACTTTCCTCCTGACTGTACAGTAGACTTTCTCTGCACTCCCCTTCCTTACCCCTGTGTATAGTTACCAAAAGAATAGTAATCCTCTTTTGGATATAGTAATTAAGGGCTCTTCCTCCAGGAAGCCAGGTGGCTTGAGCATGGTGACTGGTTGGCTGGCCCCCTGCTATAGAGAGTCTGTCTTTGAGCAGTTAGCCTGGATTGACCACAACCAATCCCTAGCAGGTGAGTTTGCTGAGAAAAAAAATTGTAGAGGGATAAGAATAGGTCCATAATTCAACTTTATATGTTGAATTAAGATATAACAGCTCAAATCATTCTAAAAATTCTACCAACCTGATATACTTGCATATAGTTATTATTTTTGAGTTTCTTGTGTCTTTTTTTTTTTTAAGATTTTATTTATTTGACAGAGAGAGACACAGCGAGAGAGGGAACACAAGTAGGGGGAGTGGGAGAGGGAGAAGCAGGCTTCCCGCGGAGCAGGGAGCCCGATGCGGGGCTCGATCCCAGGACCCTGGGATCATGACCTGAGCCGAAGGCAGACGCTTAACCAACTGAGCCACCCAGGCGCCCCGAGTTTCTTGTGTCTTGAACTTAATAATTAGTTATAATTACTCAATACTTTATGGCCCTTTCTTGATTTTAAAAACTTTGCCTGGCTTGCCTGTGACTGGGAGAAAAGATCTCCCTTTTTACGATGTGTGTTTATATTACAGGGGATTTAAATAGATACAATAAAGGTACCCTTCATTTTTTTTTTAAGTTCTTGGTCAGCGGTCAACAAACTATGACCCATGGGCCAAAAATATGTCCTGCTACCTGTTTTGGTAAATCACGTTTACTGGAACACAGCCACAGTCCATTCCTTTTGCTGTCTAGGGCTGCGTTCACATCACACCTGCAGAGTTGGCTGGTTGCCACAGAGACTACGTGGCCCGTGAGCCACAACTATTTACTGTGGAGCCCTTCAGGGAAGGAGTTCACCAACCCTCACTCTTGGTGAAGCATGTTTAATAGTCTCTTGGTTGATTATTTTTAGGCCAAAGACTAAGCTATCCATGGTGTCTGAGGCCAGGGCTGAGTTACCTAGCCTGACAACTGGCTACTTGCCATGCCCAAGAACGTTGATCTTTCTTGGTCTTCAGGTATAGGTGGTGTGGGTTCTGCGAGGTGGTGCTGGGAGCCTGGGAGGAGATGGGGTGATACCCATTAATCACACCCACCCTATCTCAGTTCATTAAGAGCAGCCCTGAGTCTCCCGGGAGGAGAAAGATAAGCATTGTGTACCGTGGGTTTTTTTCCAAGTTGCACGTCTGTATACTTGTGGGTTTTAAATCGGTGAAGCTCTTCAAATGAAATCTCGTGTAAATGCCCAGTGTATGAAACAGAAAAGCTGAGTCACTCTGGGTGGGGTGGGCATAAAGGCCACAGTGAGGGTCACCAAACCCGAGGTCTTGGGATGAAGACCCCTCCTGCAGTGGGAACACCACTCTGGTTTGGGGATCTGACACACCTGGGTTTGAATTCAGCTGCTGTCCCTTAAGAGCTGTGCATTCTTGGGCAAGTTATTTATCTCAGTCTCAGTTTCTCCTTTATTGCAAGGGAGATCATAATATTTACCTTGTAGTTTGTAAGAATTGAAAAATATGTTTTTGATGCCTCCTTTGCAATGAAACTCCTTGGAAGAGATGGCTCTATGTCAATATATTTATTGCTGCTTATCAAATTCCCACAAATTCAGTGGTTTAAAACAACACAGATTTATTAACTTATAGTTCTGCAGTTCAGCAGTCCAAAAGAGATTTGGTTTCACTTGGCTGAAATCAGGTGTTGGCAAGACTGAGTTCCTTCCAGGGGCTCTAGGGGAAAATCAATTTCCATGCTTTTTCCAGCTTCCAGAGGCCTCCTGCATTCCTTGGCTCACGGCCCTTCCTCCATCTGCCAAGCCAGCAATGTAGAGCCTAGTCTTTCTCCCGCTGCCATCTCTATGGTTCTCTCTTGCCGTACCCTCTTCCACTTTTAAGGATCCTTGTAATTACATTGTCCCTGCCTGGATAATCCGGACTAATTTCCCTGTCAGCGCCTTAATTGGCCTTGGCCGTGTACCCTAAATATTTATAGGTGCCTGGGGTTAGGACGTAGATGTCTTCGGGGACCCAGTCACCGGTCTTCTCTCCTGCTCGTGGGCACTCCTCCCCACAGGCTTTCGTCCTCACCATTCCTCCAGAACCATTCTCCCCAAGGTTACCGGGCAATCCATGTTGTCAAGTACAGTGCTTACCTTCAAGTCCGCATCTCAGCAGCCCCCTGTCAGCCTCGTTGGACACAGTGGGTCACTCTTGCCTTCCGCACTGGGCTTCCAGGACGCCTCCCTCTCTTCTCTTTCCCACCTACTGGCTATTCTTCCTCATCCTCCATTGCTGTTTTGTCCTCAGTCTTTTTGTCTCTGAAAGTTAGGGTGCCAGGGATTATTTCCTGGACCTCTTTCCTCAATCCACACCCACTCCCATGGTTTTAAATTTCCTCTAGACTGACCTACTTTCAGTGCTGTGTTCAGTCTCTAGCCCACATTTCTAAACTCTAGACTTATATCCAGCTGCCTATTTAATGTCTCCACTAAAAGGGTAAAAGGTATTGCCAATTTAATATTCTGCAAAGCAAACTCCCATTTCCCACCCTGTCCCCAGCCTCCTTCCCTGTAAATGCCTCACCATTTTCCTGCTTGTTCAGGACAAAACCCTTGGATATGGATCTATACAAAAGCCTCCTATTTGGTATCCCCATCACAGACTTTTCTGACGTAATGATGATCATAATGATCCTTTTGCGATCCATTGAACCCTTTGCCAAGACCTCCAGTGGTTTTCTTTTAAATCCAAAATAAAAGCCAAAGTCCTTAAAACAGCCCAGAAGGCCCTGTAATCTGGCCCCTCTGCTGCCTTCTCACTTCATCTCCCATCATTTCCACCCTCACTACTCTCCTGCCACATTGACCAATGCTTTTCAAAGGTGCCAAGCACATTTTCAACCTCTGGACCTTTGTACTGCTCTTCCCTCTGCCTGGAATCCTTTCTGCCCAGGTAGTCCCGTGGCTGGCTTGCTCATTTCCTAAAGTCTCAACTGAAATGTCACTGTAGCGGAGTGAGGTTTCAGTGCCCATCCTGTATAAAAATGGCACTTCTTACCCCAGGCACACCCTGCCCTCCACATCACCTTATGAATCATTCCTCTCCTTCTGCTTCTTTTGCTTTCACTGCATTTACCACCACTTGACCTTATTTATTTACTGCTTTATTTTATCTGCCTTGCTCCAATAGAATGTTTTTATGGTATCCGTTGTCTCTTCTTTCTTCTCAAATGTTTGCTCTTTGTCTCAAATGAACTACAATAGGGCAGACCTTGTTTTGTTCAATGCTGTATGCCCATTGCCTACCTAGCATGGTGCCTAGCTTGGGAGGAGGATGGAGATTGGTTAATCAAATGTTTGTGGTATGAATAAATGAATGAATGAAGGTCTCATTCAGAGGGGTGGCGCAGAGACATTCAGCAAGTGATAGCTATGATTGTGAATAAAGCATTTGCTTGAGGTAGTAATTTCCCTGTCAGTTTGGTGTCATTCAGGGTGAATGAGCCACCAAGATCACTCTTATGAATATATTTAATTGTATATTGTTTCTTGCTTTAAGGAAAATCTTAACATTAAGAAAAGGTTGGGTTTTTTTGTTTGTTTTTTTCATCTGCTATTTCTTTTTTTAAAGATTTTATTTATTTATTTGAGACAGAATGAGAGAGAGAGAGCACATGAGAGGGGGGAGGGTCAGAGGGAGAAGCAGGCTCCCTGCCGAGCAGGGAGCCCCATGCGGGACTTGATCCAGGGACTCCAGGATCATGACCTGAGCTGAAAGCAGTCGCTTAACCAACTGAGCCACCCAGGCGCCCTTTAATCTGCTATTTCTTGAGCTGCCCCTTGAGGGCCCACCCTCTTAACCAGTGAGCCAGACTGCTTCCCGTGGTTGCAGTTTTTTGGGTTTTTCATCTGGGTGGGATTAGGGAGGATGTAGCTTCAGGAATGATTTATGAAGGATACTTCTGTCCCCTGGCTTGGGCGAGACCTGGAACAGGGTAGAGGAGGTTCACCTGCCCAGGAGAATGACTGATCTCCAGTTACATCTAGTTTTTAGGTTCAAGTGAAGGGTTAAATGGTTTTTCATCTGTTCATCCAAACATTCGTTGAGCCTCTGTTGTACACCTGATGCCTTGGTAGTTTGGGCTCTGGGGAGTACATGATGGACCTTGACCCTGCCTGGAAGAGCTCACCAACCTGCTGGTGGAAGGGGGGGAGGGGCAGGTAGAAGAGTAATTACAGTACAACCACGTGGCCGTCACGGCTCCAAGAGCTCTGGAGATAGCATCTCCTTTAATCGTGAAAATAAGTCTGAATTTTGGGCCATTGCCTCCGTTTTACCGGTGAAAGAACTGAGGCTTCAGGGAGGGTTCAGTAATTTCCTGGAGTCACTAGCCAGTAAATGGCAATCTCTGTTTGACTCTAAAGCTCCTACTGTTCACCACTGCCCCATTTGAAGGGTGGAGAGGGAGGGTGCAGGCTCCCCAGGGTGTCACCTGGATTGGGGCGGGACAGTTTCAGGGGCACCTACTCTCAGCTTGTGAATAAAGAAAGTGACTTCAGGTACTGAAACCCTCTCCAAGATTGGGGTTCACAGTGACAGGCTCACAGGCATGGTGAAGGTAGACTAGTGGGACCCCAGGAGCCCAGCATACAGACCACCTCAGGAATCATGAAGTAGAAGGTTTCTAGAATGGAAAACTGAAACTCAGAGCCTATTTTTGTCTCTTTAAGACATAGAGGACTGAGAAGACATCCTCCTTATTAACTCCCTTCTCCCATTTTTTTTCCTTTCTTTAGCCAGGTGATGTCCTGTACTTTCCCAGAGGGACCATTCATCAAGCGGACACTCCTCCAGGGCTGGCCCACTCTACTCACGTGACCATCAGCACCTACCAGAACAAGTAAACACTCTCCTCCCAGCCTTGCATCCCAGGGGAGCTCAAGCTGTGTCCCATGGCAACCGTATGCAGAAGGGAATGAGGGAGTTGCCCTGTTGTCCTGCTTATCCAACCTCAGGGGTTTCATTCAGGCACCCTTGGTAACTTCCGGTTCCTTTAGAGTCCTATCCATGCCATTGGCCCATCTGGGGTTCCTCCTGCGAATGTCATGAACCTGACTGTACAGAAAATAGGAGTTGCCCGGTGAGGGCTCCATGGTTTGGGAAGAAAGAACCACAGCTGTGGTGGTGTGTTATTGACGCCTGGCTGGACTTGCAGTCTCTCTCTTTTTAACATTTTTTTATTGCAGTAAAATATTTATAACGTAGAATATGCCACCTTAACCGTTTTTAACTGTACAGTTTGGTGACATTAATTATGTTCACACTGTTGTGCAACCATCACCGTCTGTTCCAGCACATTTTCGTCACCCCGCACAGAAACTGTGTCCATTGAAGCCTCCGGATCTCTTGTAAGGTTTCCACTGTTCATACAAGTTCATGAAATGGAGTAGGAAAGCAAGTCTGGAACAGTGAGACCTAAAAGCACATGTGCTGAAAACCGTTCTGATTAAAATTGTGTTCCATTTCGGTGCGTGGCGCCTCCCAGGCCCTGGGCGGCAGCGGCCTCCCTGTGGGTCCCTAACAACGGCGACCTTGCTAGCCCCGGGCGCGTTCAGACTGCCAGTCGTCGATGCCCGGCAGCTTGTGGGCACCAGAGCCTGTGCAGTGGCTGGGAATGTGGGCCTGGGACTGAACTCGCACCCTGGAGCTGGTGGTAGGAGGGGAGACGGATCGGGGAGTAGCAGTGGGATAGCTTCCATCGTGGGTTTGTAGAGGAGACTCCTGAGGAGCGCAGAGGAATGCGCTGAGCCAAGCTGGGGCGTCAGGGAAGGCTTCAGAAATGACTTGACGCCCAGGCTGAGTGAGTCTTAAAGGGTGAGTAAGCAGAGTGGGTCAGACGGTCAGACTGGGAAAGGCATTCCAGCCCCAGTGGACAGCAGGGCCCCTCCTACGTTCAGAGCCATAACTTGCAAAACAAGTTGGTAAGCATGACTTCTGCTTCCTCATCTGGCGTTTCTGGGTGAAATGAGCCCCTGTGTTTAGAGGCTGACCAGAGGAACTAGCTGGAGCCTGGCCTACAGTTAGGGTAGTCCTTGCCCACAAGCAGACCAGCGCTTATATTAAACTTCCTTTATGAAAAATGCTCTTCTTACGGTGGCTAAGCAGATTCCTTGCATAGCCACGGGGAGGCTGGAACCAGGAGTTCCCAGTGGGTGCCGAGCAGCTCTGGGCCTTGGCAGCCAGTTTGGCCCCGTGGGTGTCCACGTCGCTTCTGGTATCCTGCCGTTAATGTGACTCAGCTATTTCCCTTTCTGGGATATTCTTTTGCATTCACTTAATGCCCCCAACTGGTTTTCTAGTAAGTGGTTTTTCATGCACTTATTTTCCTTCCTCACCTTCTGTTTACTCATAACATTGACTCATCCATAGGCCGTCATCAGTTACTTGTCTGACCTCCCTTTTTCTCACTTGACCTAGTAGCTTCCACTTCTGCTAAACTCTTTCCCAATCCCAAGAGTGACGATCTGGTGGGCTGCCCCTTGGTCCCACCCGTGCCTTCTCTGGTCAGTTGGGGAGGGGGACGGGCGCCGTGATTGAGGAGCCTCGGGTCAGACTCTGACCTGTGCTCTATTCGGTGGTGCTGGAGCTAGAAGGGGACAGATTGGAACTCAGGAACCATTGCTCCCCAGAGATGTCCCTGTGCCGTGGGCCTGGTACCCCGGAAGGCACTGGCACGGTGAGGATTTGGGGCCTTTTCCTGACACCTCTCAAGGGGACGTTGTTGGGAACGTCTGGGATCTGGGTGTGGGACAGCAGCGGGTTGATTTGGCTGTTTTACCAAAGTGAACCCCTCAAGAAATACTAATCTCAAAGTTTGGTCTAAGATCCATTCTGCCTCTAACCAGAACACAGAGCTCAGTTTAACTGCAGTGCCATCTCTCCATGAGCTACTGCCGCACGATTTCACCCAGGACCCTGCAAAAGAAGAGCTTATTTTTGTGCTGGTAAAAGAGCTCCAGGAGAAGGTTCATTCAATCAGATGGGAGGTTGGGTGTAGCATGAAGTTGCAAAGTATGAGGACACCAAATGTAGACATCTTAGGGAAAGTGTCACTCATGTGACTTTTTTCTTTGGGCACTTTTTTGGAAGGGAAGCATTAAAGTGTTAATTTTGCTTACTGAGTGAGAAGCAAAAGTCATACTGTGAATTCCCATTTTTGCACATAGCCAGCAATTTGAAATCTGCTGGTGACACTGAGGGAAAATTATAAACAGCTAGAAATACTTAAAGAGAGCAACCCCACAGAGCGTTTCTTACAGTGGCACACATTTAGGAGCGAGCCGATTGTAAATGCCCCAGAGTACAGGTAATTGAACACCGATGCTCATCCCTCGACGTTATTTTTGGCCACTGGATTCTATCCTTCTAAGCACTGCTAGAGTTTTAACAAGTTGCAAATCAATTGTTTTGAAATTGTTGATGTTGGATATTTCACTGAGGAAGAGTGCCCCTCTTTTATAAGGGAAAAAGGAAAATGTAATGTGTAACAGTTCAGATAATTACACAGTCCAGGGATTTTACTCTTACCCTAAATGTATTTCTTTTTGAAATTTGAACATGAACTATTTTTTTAGGTCCTGTGATTGTTAGAATTTCCTACAGAGTTCCTCTCATAGACACTTGTGTTACAACTGAAAACATTAAAAATAAATTGGGCCCTTGAACTTCCCACTTTACACCTGTATAGGATTGTGTGGTATCTTTTAAGAGAAGTCGTGAATAAAGCCTAGCCTCCTACCTTTTACCTTTCCACGTGAGTGTCTGGGGAAGGGGAGGGGAGAAGCAGTGTGATTGATGAAGGCCTTCAAGTTTTTTCGTGCTGAGTAATGTCACATTAATGGAACTCACAGCACCTGGGGAGTTGGAATGTAGTTTGTAGCTTCGGGATTTACTAAGTAATCAGTGTTTTATGTAGATTCTGTGGGTGTTCACGGTTTTCTTTCTTGGTGTGTGTTCCAGTTCGTGGGGAGATTTCCTTTTGGACACTATTTCGGGGCTTGTATTTGACACTGCAAAGGAAGATCTGGAGTTCCGGGCTGGCATACCCCGGCAGCTGCTCCTGGTAAGGAGTAAAGGCTCGGGGATCCGGGGGGTCGGGGCAGGGGGTCAGTGGCAGCCCAGGCCAGCGGAAGCTGTGGCCTGCCTCCTAGGCAACCCCAGGATCCTTCTTTCTGCCAGTCAAGCCCAGCTCCTGGGCTGCATGCAGCGCTGCATGCTTTGCAGGGGAACGTGGCGCTGCACGGTCCGTGGGCCCCCAAGAGCCAAGGCTGTTGCGCAGGCAGCCCCTCTTTCCGCACGGCGAAGGCAGGGTGGGAACGCTGGCTGAGGAAGTGGCTGAGTCACTGAGGCACGTGGCCCGAGAGCCGCAGATTCGGCCACCGGCTTACGCAGGAGAGACCCGCTGGAGATGCTGGCTGGTTATGCTCCGCGTACTGCTCTGGACACCAGGACCTGCGCGGGAAGTCCTGATGGAGTTCGGGCCAGGACTCACTTCGGGGTTTCCAGCAGGTGGATGCCACGGCTGTTGCGACGAGAAGGTTAAGTGGCTTTCTGAGGACCCTTGCTGACCGGCTGGAGGGCACCAAAGAGCTGCTTTCAGCTGACATGAAGAAGGATTTTGTTATGAACAGACTTCCCCCTTACTATATGGGAGACCGAGCCGAGCTTTCGACGCCAGGTGGGATATTTTGAGGCTTTCCTGGATGGGCTCCTCTTTGTGCAGATGGAAAGAAAGAAGCATTTTAGAATTAAGGTGGACCTAGATCTATCTTTAGCATGTTATGTTTGGATGAGACATGCTATAGTTTTAGGGATCCTGCATCTCATAAGTCTTTTGCAAAGAACTTGCGTCCCACTTGATGGGGAGAAAGAACCGTGTGATTGTGGGTGAGAAATATGTGTATGGGCACTCTGGTATTCTCCATCTTCAGGAAGTTCTAAGAACTTGAACACAAGGTTGTCACTAACCTGCCCCGAGTCCCAAGTGACTATTTTGTGACTGGTTTAGGCTGCAAATGACCTAACACTTGGATAGATGGTGATAGCAGACCATCAGTACAACACTCCTGCAGTGGGACAAATGAATTTAGGACTTGTTGCAACAGGGAAGACCACACTGCTGGGAGTTGCGGGTGATCTAAGTAAAAGAGTGTTGGAAGGATTCGGGCTTGAGTTAGGTGATTTTTCAGGAGGGTTAAGAAAGCAGGGCTTTGTTCTGGGATGGCCGCTGTCAGAAAATGAGTGTGATTGGGTCTCCTGTAGGCAGGAGGAGTGAAATGAGGCTGAGGTTGCAATTAGTAAGGCAGGGGCAGCCGCTCAGATCAGCAGGATAGGGACGTTTGGTCATTTTTGAGGTTTGGATAGTGTTCTTGCTTTTGCCTGAGTTCTGACATGCTGTTGGAGTGGCCTTGTTTTCGCCTTGCCCTCTCACAGAGTGGCCTGGTTGAATGTTGGTGTTCTGTGGAATCGCCTGTGTTCAACAGGAGACACCGAGACACGGCTGTGGGTACCAGGCCAGCTCTCCGGCTGCCTTTCTCCTTCTCTGTGGGGTTGAGAGGATTATTTTTACTAACGTTTATAAAAGCTTTCTTTCTCATGGTTGAGACCCACTGAAATAAGACAATCTATAAGGTCGCCTTTAACATTGATTCTGCTTATAATTTTAGTATCATCTTTGGGGGAAGTTTGGAATTTGTTTTTGCACCTATTCAAAATAGCAAATTTTTACCAGCATGTATTTCAGTCTTTAGTAGAACAGTTTTCAGAGTATCAGCTTATGGCACAGAATATCTTACCTGAACCCTTCTTTGTCTTAGCCATTAGAGTCCATAACGCTATGTTCCCTCAAGACTGTTTCTTCAACCAGATGACCCTCTAAGGCCAGTCTGTTTTTAGTGGCTACTTTTTTACGAAGTTAAATCCAACTTGGAAAATACTTTTTTTTTTTTCTGTGAGCTTTATTAGGTGGCTTTCATGACACTACACTTGACCTACATGGATGGAATAAGTTGCTAGGATTACAGAACTAGTCGTTGGTGAGATGGTGCGGTTTGAACTCAGGTAGTCCATACTTCTGGGCTCCACACGTAGAGCAAGCGGCAGACGGAGGCTGGAACCTGGGAAGCTAGTGTTGTGTGCAGGTTGCCCGGCGGCACTGTCTGTCGGGACAGCCGCTCTGCTTCCGGGGCATGGTTTAGATCTATCAGATGTACCTACCAGCATCTGTTGTTACTTATCTGTTACACGTCTACACTGTAAGAATGAGCTCCGTAAGGATGTAAACTATACTTCAGTATCATTATAAATATGGGGTAAGTCAGTACTTGAATTGGAGGGCACCCCACATTTGGATTCACCGCACACAAGTCTGAGCCTGGGGTTCCTCTAGTGAAGGCTGGCTTTCTCTCCCTGGGTCTTCTAGGTGGACGGTTACCAAGTTTGGACAGCACAGTGAGACTGCAGTTTAAAGACCACACCATCCTCACAGTAGGGCCGGATCAGGATCAATCTGTGAGTATCCAGAGAGGAGGAGGTTTCCTCTCCTCTCAGGACATTTCCATCACAGGCCTCAGGTTATCAAACTAACAGATGGCCCCTACCTTTCCAAACCCTTTGGGCATCCATCTGTTCTCCTTAGTGCCCTGACTTTACCTCAGAGGGTGCCCAGATCTCACTATGCCAAAGATGCCTGACTATTGGGCATTTGAGGCTTGCCCTCCTCCCCACAGATCCCTCCTTCATTTCCTTCATGTGGTGATGGACGCCTGGTCTCTGCCTCCTGGTTCAGGCCATACTGCTCTTGCTCAGACAACTGCAGACCCTTCCTTGTTCACACACCTCCCTCACGCACTCTCCCATCCTGCACCTTGCCCAGTCGGTCATTACATATGGTTTTGTTGATGTTCTTCTAGATCATGGAGAAGAAAATTTATATTATATAACTTTGCCACCTGGCCCCATGGTTTACTGATCCTAGACTCAATGGAAAACTTTTAGAAATTATAAATTCCCAGGCTTCACTTGGTCTGGGTTAGAGCTTCTGTATTTATTACCAAAGCTCCCTGTACAATCCTAAGGACCTTGGGAACTCTTCCATGCCCTATGACTTCACCTTCTTCCTCCTAGTCAGCTATCTTGGGAGGTGCTCCATGAATGAGTAGAGGGGCTGTGAGTTGGGGGCAGCTAGATGTGTCCATAACCAGACTGTCACAGCCATCGGGGCCAGACCTGGGGAGGACTGGTTTATAATATATGTAGAAAACCTCAAAAGTATGCACTCTCTTGTATTCATCTCTCAAAAAAAAAAAAATCCTAGTAACCCTTATCTAAGAGGTGACAAGGACTGAGGTTCTGGTCACTGTAGGATGGATGGACAGGGAAGTAGACTATTTGAGAGGCTACTGTAATTGGAAGTTTTTATAGATCCCACAGCTGGTATTTCTCAAGAAGTAATACTCCGTGGTGTTCACAAATTGCCAGCTTATAACTGGGAATGTCATATATGGATATAAAAAAAAGTGCTGGCTGGATTAAATGAAACGAATGTTTCATTGATAAGTTGATAGGTAAGTGGTTGCTTTTTCATTAAGCCACATTTCAGATGATGCTCTGTGAGCTACACTCTGTTTTATCTTTAAAAAAAAAAGTGCCTATTTGCTATATACAAATAGTAATCTGAGGAATATAGTTTGTGTATATATATCCTAACTTTGTGCCAAAAAGATTCTTGGTGTTAAATTTTGTTATTGGAGAACCCTCCTTGTATTGACCTCCTCGATATTGTGTTGTTGACAGCTTAACTCTTACCTTTTTTTAAGGATGAAACTCAGGAAAAGATGGTTTACATCTATCATTCCTTAAAGAATAGGAGAGAGACACACATGATGGGAAATGAGGAAACAGAGGTCTGTTCCAACCTAAAATATCTTTACTGTGATTTGGTGATGGCTGGGAAGAATGTGTTACCTTTGATTTATGGGTGATGCGCTTTCTTATGACTGCAGCGTGGGCTTAACATTTCACACAATTGACAGAGCCCTTGCACGGGGATGATTAAGTAAGTCAGACAGTTCTGTGATATACGTACACATACACCAGCTTTAAAACATACGAGCTGGGACCCTGTAGCCTCGTAGGAAATGTGTAATGTCATAAATATGAAGTATTTCAAATGACTAATTTCTTAGGATATAAAGTAGGAGACCTTTCGTGAAGTCTAAGTTTTTATATGGGAATTGGCAAATTCTATACGTTATCTAGTTGTAAGGCTATCAGAAATACTGAGAACTATACAAGTTATGAAAATACCACTTTAATATTTTTTATCTGACTAGTGTATCCTTTTCCAGTCCCATGGACTTCGCTTTCCTTTATCACATATGGATGCACTGAAGCAAATTTGGGGTCACTCAGCTATTCCTGTCAAGGACCTGAAACTGACTACAGATGAGGAGAAGGAAAACCTGGTGTTATCCCTCTGGACAGAATGCCTAATCCAGGTAGTCTAGGGCCTGTCCAGAATCAAGGGTGTACCGTCTCAGACACGTGCGCAAAGAAGAGCAACGATGTGCTGCTTCTGTCGACTGGTAAGGGCCCTACAACAGCCTTCCTTACCTTCATGGAAGAAGGGGGTCTCAGAAAGTAACCAAACCGTACTTTGGATAAACTCATTTAATCCAGTGTGGTAGAAAAGGCACAACTCCAATAAATGGATCATTGAAATTTAAAGGTCGCTACCTGGCTTTGTCTTTGTTCTTTGGAAGAAACTTCTTTAAAGAGCCTTATTGGCTCTACAAAAATCTTTTAAACAATTAACACAAAAAAAATTTAAATTGTTTTTTTTACAATGAAAATATATACCTCCGTGTATACACAGCCCCCTCCCCCGATTAAAATAAAGTTACCCGGATAACGTAAGTTTCATTAAATACTGCCACACCAATGAGAGGCGCTCCCATCTATGGGCATACGTGTGTTTTACAGATGCTGCTTCAAAGATGACAAAGAGCCTGAGATTGAAGGAAAAAAAATCAGTATTTACATGGAAAGACCAAGTCTCCATAAAAAAAATGCTCAAAATATTGGGTCTTTGTACTTAAACAATTCACTGTTATTTTACATTCTAAAGTGCATAAAGGTTGATAATTCAAAAATATCACTGGAGTATTTAATCTTTCTATATAAAAATAGAGCAGACAGTTTTCTGCTTTCTGGTAAAAGTTGGTGACGAATGGAACAGTTGTCTCGAGTTTAAAACCAACTCAGGAGGGAAAAATACTTAAGAATTGTATAATTTTTAAAGGTGGTAATGATTACCTGATATCCTACCTGATTTTGCTTAAAAATGGAAGTAAAAACTGAGTTTTCAGCCATTTCATTAAGTAAAATGGTATAGTCAAAAAGGCTCAAATACTACTTGGTTTTAACTTAAACATTTGAAATTTCCCTTTACTTCAGACAAAGAAAAATTTGACTAAACAACTGCTTGAGGGCAGATCAGGCAAAATCTAGGGTGAGGTGTCAGCACCAGGACAGGTGACCACCGATTAGAGTCTTGTCACCCGGGAGAGAGTAAGGATGGTCACAAGTTATTTGTGCTTTTTTAGTTTGGCCACAGAAAATATGCCAATACTCGAGCCTCCTTCCTAAACAAAGCCAAGGTCCTTTCCTGGGGTCAGTTATAAGTATGAATACTTACGGTGCTTCAGTTATAAAAGCCTCAGTAGAGAAGACCCTTTAAGGCTTATCTAATACAGCAGCTTAATAGGAAGGTTTATTAAATATGTTTTCAGGCATTGCTAAAAAAAATTATTTCTCTTCTTGCAAAAGGATGACTTGACCTAAAGGAATTTGTTTCCCTGTGCTTCGCACTCACACACCTGTCTCCTAGGATATTAACAGCTAATACAGGCTGACAGAGTCACCAGGGTTCTACAGGGGCTTTCAGGAGTAGGACTTGTGTCTGGTGGAGAGGAGAGAAAGCACACGCTTGAGGGAAGCTGCTCACCAGAAAACTGGAGACCAATCAGGACTAGAACCTTTCGCAGAAATCAAAATGTGCTTTTCATAGGAATGCTAAACAACTGGCAAGAATACTTGAGTGTTGCCATGGTTAAGAGCAATGGTCTTGGAAGCTAGGAGAAAACTTCACTGTGCTCAGTGATGCAGGAGCGTGAGGACAAGTAGCTTCTTTTCCCAGGGACAGGAGGTTTGTTCTTTGCTCTTTCTAGAGATGCCGCAGATTCTCTCACAATATTTCAATGTCCCATTTCTGTGTTTCTGCTCCCTCCAGGGGTTGATTTACAATTACATGAGTCTTGTCATAATAATTTCCTCCTAAAATAGGAATTCCAAAAGAAAGGATTATTTGTTCACACAGGTGCTTATTAACAATGTTCAGCCCACCGAGTGCCGGATTAAGACTTCATTCCTGGGGTGCCTGGGTGGCTCAGTCGGTTAAGCGACTGCATTCCACTCAGGTCATGATCCCAGGGTCCTGGGATCGAGCCCCGCATCGGGCTCCCCACTCAGCGGGAAGCCTGCTTCTCCCTCTCCCACTCCCCCTGCTTGTGTTCCCTCTCTTGTTGTTTCTCTGTCAAATAAATAAATAAAAAATCTTAAAAAAAAACCAAAACAGCCTGATGTGGGAAGCTAGTTTAAATAAGCTTAGCTATGATTAACCTCAAATCAGACCTCAGTATGACTCAAACTGAAAAACTAAGAGGTAGAACAGTTGACTACAAAAGCCGTGTGCCCAGCACCACGGTTCTGGAGAGAGCTCGGGCTGGATGTTGGGCACGGTTTCTGTTTCCACACGGACAGTGGCTGTGACTAAGCCAATTAAAGCAACAGCCCAGACCTTGCTCAATTCCAAAGCAAGTTTAAATGATACCTGCCATCAATTTTAAGTGAGGGCTTTTAAGGACTACAGCAATTCATGGCAAAAAGAGGTTTCTTTCTATGAAACGGGACATTTTGTGGCTGATGAAGCTTTAAATTTAGAATTGTTCTCAAAGATCATGTAGCAAATGAGAATTTTACAACTGTCCTAATGAACAAAAACCTCAGACTTTGTCCTGAGGTTTTTCCTGCTTGAGCCAAGTAGCTCATTGTTCATTAAAACAGCGTATCTTTTTTCAAGAGTAAGTAGAAATGACTTAATATTTCTTTTGTGCATCAGATTTCTTTTCCCCAGGAGGAGGAGAAGGTTTGGAATTTAAAATTCTATCCAGGGACACAGAACGTTGGGTTTCCTCAAAGGCCCACCTTTAACATCTAGGACAAGTTGATCGCTGAGATAGGAGCTGATGGTTCCGTTTCTGTTCAGCTTCCACTTCTGCCGGAACTGTCCGTGTTCAGGCCACAGAGCCACTTTAGCCCCGGGGGTGTCCCGGCCTCCAATCACATCAAGGCACGTGTCACTGGCCTAAAGGTTAGGAAGCAGATTGGCAGTACTGTGTTAGCTCCAATCAAGTGAACTGGGTCCCTTCCCTTTACACGACTCTGATCTAAAAGAGAAGACTATCCAGCATAGTTACAATTTCACCAACTGCTGAAGTTGTCTTTAGGGCAGCTGAGGGACGTGGTACAGACACAGACCCACAGAAGTAGAGGTGCATCTGTGAAAAGGACACCTGCATCTGACAACAGATGGTCAATGAAGGTTTGCTGAACTACAATTAAATGTTAAGTCTCTGTTGGCATAAATGTATCAGGTGGACCACGGTTTCTTTTTTTACGTAGGCTCCACACCCAATAGGGCTTGAACTACGGTCCTGAGCCAAAGTCAAGACTCGGATGCTTAACTGAGCCACCCAGGCGTCCCTGAGCCTGGTTTTCTTATAAAAGCATCAGGTGATGTTCCAGATAGCCAAACAATAATTACTTTTAAGTGCTTTTCATTTTTGTTGATGAGAAAAAAAGTAGAGAATCCGTTGGTGACATAATAAAACTGGTGTTCTATTCCCCAGAACATCAAATGTAATGGAGGCATCACAAAGAAATGTAAACTTTATTTTCTAAGCTTTCTCCAATAACTACTTCACTGGGTACTGTGAAAGTTTCAAGATGTTTAGAACCACAAAGACAGCTGATTTTATCTGGGCCACAGAGTAAGGAATGTGTCACAAGAGCACAACATCCAGTTGGATCCAGTGAGTTGTCTGTCACTGGTTTTAAAACATCATTTAGGCATAGCCAAAGTATGTGATAACCTTAGTTTTTAACTTTCAAGTAGAAATTGAATTTTCTAGATGAAAATTCTCTGAGTCCATTTCACTTAAAAGCTTTAGTAATGTAACGTGGCATATTTATACAGTCCTGCAACCATTTCTAGGAAGTTGCATTATTTTATAAAGGCCATTTGATTACGCAAAATTCTGGCCTCCAAAAGAAAAAAAAAAAGGCCCAAAGGTGGGATGCAGTGTCCGTGGGGTGGCTGCTCACCTTGGATTTAAAGAGTCCTCGGCAGTAGTGCCAGATCTGAGTTGTCTTCCCGGTGTAGGGAGAGACGCACACGGATGTGGCCCTTGTGTCAGCAACGTTGCCAGTGACCGTCAGATACTCATCCTGGGCCCGGTTCTTTATCCTGATGTACACTGCAGGCTGGGACGGGGAGAAGCGGCCATTTACAAGAAGGACTTGGGAATCTGGAAATCAGACTCTAAAGAAGGCAGGCTGAGGCAAGGGGTGAGGGGATCTAGCTTATGCAGTTTCACTCTGCCTCCCTTTAGCCAGTATGTGTGAATTACTCTTTTTCTATTGACAGACCTTAGACCACTGAACACAAAGGTTAAGTTGTACAATAATCTCTATTATACTTTTCTGAAAAGTATACCCTTTTGGAAGCGTAAAAGGTAATCGTTTCATCTCCTGGAATGCCATGTGGCAAGGGGTGGTGCAGCGTCCGGACTTGCTGAGTTTCATTCGGGAACCACGGTGTCCTCGCTGTGCTGGGGGAGGGAGGGGACGAGCAGGAAGGCAAGATACGGCCCACCCACAAGGCTCTCACAACAACCTAGCAAACGCTGCAGTAACCACGCACACTGTTTGAGCTATAGTTAAGTGCCAATTGCCGGCTGTGGGAGTTCTTGAAAAACCCAGGTTAACCTGAGGGCCTGAGCAGCTGTGGTAATGTCTGTCTGTGGACCTTTACACTAATTCAAGGGAAGAGACCATTGTATGTTTAATCGTAACAGGTATTCAAAAACTGGGTAACAAAGAACTTTTATCCCCTGGGCCTGGAATACATACCCGAAGTTTTCCAATAAAATATTAAATCTAGGACTAAACAATAATATTTATTGAGAGCTTAGTGTATGTCAAGCAGTGTGCTAAATGCTTTCTGAGCCATTGTATTATCTAAGTTAATAACCAGAAGAACCCTTTAAGAAAGTCCAATTATGACCTGAATTTTACAAAGTTAACACAGATATGGGGAAGCCAGGTCAGCCTGCAACAAAACCATCCCTCTAAGCCAGGATGCTCTTCGTAAGGTTTGCTGAAACATACCAGTTACACTCAGACACCGGGAATAAGAGACCACGTCCAAAGGTGGCAGTGTGAATTAAGTCCAATAATGAAAGGACACCGCACAGGATAAAAACTCCCCAGAAACCATTCTTTTAGCCTTAAGCCTCCTGTCTTCATGAAATAAAATACAGGACATTCAACATCCCTACCTTGGGTCATTATGTTGGCATCCCAATCAGAACTTTGCTAAATAATAACAACAAACTATTTACTAAGGAAGCACTTTCACTCTGAGAAATATAAGTGCTATGTAAATGCAACAATGTACCATGGTAAGTCCACCATATTCTACTACTTTGAAACTTAGATCAATAGGAAGCCAGCTGAATTTTGGCACACTGCTGCCATGTTTGGCCTTTCAAAGGAAATAAACATTCTGGGACAAATTTTTATCTAGTAATTTAAAGCAGGTAAAAAAGACCTCTACTAGGCAAAATGTTTTAAATGTTTCAAAGCGCTACTTCCACATTCATAATGCAACAGTAATGTACTTAAATATCTGTGACTGATAAGTCTGTATAATTCTGTAAGTCTCCCACTGCAATTATTAATTTCTTGAGGCTTCAGTACATCTTTATTAGTTTCCTTACCTTGTACGTAGAAATAAACAGGCATGACCTTCACAGAGGACAGAGTTCCAATTATGTTAGGACCAAACGTCACAGTTTTAATTAAGTAAAGTACTAATTACCCTTATTACACACTTGTAGTCTGACTCTTCTGTCATTATACTTTAAAATACTGGTATGCATTATAAGTGCCTTAGTGACTTCCTAATTCCCAAACTCAAAGAGAATCGCATTTTAATTATTACTGAATTTCCAAACAAGAATATGAACTACAGCAGTAGCCGTAGCCCTACCAAAAAGGAAATGACCCATAATACTGTTTTAGAAGCCCAGAATTCCTTTGCTGGGTCTTAAAGCTGTGGCCTAAATAAACAAAGGCAAAATAATCTATAAAAATATTATTTTAAAATAAAATGTTAAACCAGAATAGGAATCAGATAGTTTCTAAAGCACAATGAAGAAGAATAACACAATGTTAATTGTCAAAAAAAACCTTTTATATAAAATTAGAAGCTATTGTTCTAGCTATCCTTTATCTCAGGACCCTGAACAATCGCCGAGACATCCTTCCCCAGCAAGGAACCACCTTTCAGAAGTGAGAGAAATAGTCTCAGCATCCAGCTTGGCTGCTAAAGTTCCTAATGACATAGGATTAGGCATTATTATATAGTTGGTAAAAGCTACACTGAATTCCCACTTCTGCCTTGCTTTTCCCCATGGCTTTTCAGTGGGATTACCCATCATCCCATGTGACAGGAGTGAGGAATAAGCAGTATGTGAAGGTCATGAAATCCTGTACCACAAACTCTGCCAGGAAAGCCTGCTAAACCTTAGCACCCTCAGAAGAGCGTCTCTGATTCTCTCAAGGGACACTATGAATAATGAACTTTCAAAATAACCATAGTAATAATATAAGCCAGATGTTCTGTCAGACTCTTTCTATACATTTTTCTTATTCAATCCTCACAGCAATACTGAGAGGTAAGCCATGTGATCACTGTTTCACTAGAGGAATCGGATTCCTCACCCAGAGTCACACTGCTTACAAGTGGCAGGGCTAGGATTTGAACCAACAGAACCAAAGAGTGGCAGGAATGAGCACGGTGGGGTGGGGTGGTGTGTGTGTGTGTGTGTGTGTGTGTGTGTGTGTGTGAGAGAGAGAGAGAGAGAGAGAGAGAGAAGGGCAGCAAGACCAACTAGGTTAATTTTTTATTGGCTACTATTTATTTAACACTTAACACGTCCAATCTGCACATCGGCCTCAGCACTTACATCCACTCTGCTACCTTCAGCTCAGGGCCCGGAATATATGGTGCCACTCTGTAAATATTGATCTTATTTTGGAGGAAAGTAGGGTGTGGTTGCCCAACACAAATTTTAGAAAATAAATCTGGGTTCAAATCTTGGTTCTGACACTTGGATGACTTTTGCCAATTTGCCTTACCTCTCTGACCCCGATTTTCCCATCTGAAAAATGGGAGTAACAACTCCTACCTTAAAGGGCTATTGTCAAAATCAAGTGAGAAATGTTTCTAATTAGAATTCAAATGGCATATCCACAGATCATTGCACCCGACAGCAGGGCTTGGGTTTTTCACCTTCTGTGAAACTTCCACCACTCCGTACATGCTCATACTTCCTTTCTGTAAACCAGGCATTTTTGATGGTTATACACTGTTGTGCGTTTTATGGTACCATTTTGAGTTGGACTGGTTTTACCCAATAAACACATAAGCTCCAATAAAGCAGAGATCATGTCTATCCCTTAAATCTTCCATAATTCTTAGCCTCATGTCAAATATCCCTTTATCCATTTATACATTCGTTCCTTCATTAAGCAAACAGTCCCTGAATCCTTACAATATGCCAGACATGGTGCCAGATACTAGGGGTAGAGCTGTAAGTAAGATGTGCACAGCCCTGCCTTCCCGGGGCTGGCGGCAGAGTGAGAACATGCCCAGTCCAACCACAACTGCGAGGTTACAAATCTCACGCGGTGTCTTTGTAGGAAAAGAACCAGGTCTTTTAAGATCTAATTTAGACCAGGAGAGAGGATGAAAGAAGCACCCTGGAAGATGGGACACTAAAATTTAGAGGGGTGAGTAGAATTAGCCAGGCAAAGAATGAGGGAAGAAACTTGCAGACAGAGGGCACAGCCTGTATTAAGAGCCTAAGTAGGAAAGCACTTCGCACGTTGGTGGCTGTGTCATGGCCCCATTTGAGTGAGGAGCAGACCAGTGAGGGAAGAGGCTGGAGAAGCAAGGGGGCCAGAACACACAGGCACATTGATGAGATCAGATTGTATCCCAAAAGATACAGAAAGCTTTTGACAGAAGACCGACAAGCAGTAGGTGTGTCATGAATACCAAGATCTATCCCAAGTTGTATGTAAGTAGAGGAAAAACTCCAAATACTTAGAACTAGGGCAGACTCAGAGTTCATTGTTTTCTTTGCTTTCCACAGAGCTTATGCTGTTCAGTTTTCCATGAAAAGTCAGTAAGGTCAGTAAGACTTTGGACTCAAAGCTAAAATCCAACATCAACCTTAGATACAACTTAACGAATTGGTTAATGTCTCTAGGATTCCTCATCCTAATCAGAGCCCCCTGTAATATAAATGTCAAACTAAACAGTCAATATTTCAGATGCTATGGTTCATGACATTTCTACTAGAAAAAGATCCAAAAAAGCTATTTTTAGATCTTATGGGTTTTTTTTTTTTTCCCTCCGCTCCTTACCTGCTTCATAGGACGGAGGGAACCAATTGTTTTCCATCCACTGAATGCTGTCCAATTGGGGATCTCATTAGGCTCAAGTAAGATTTGTCTTCCTAAGAAATTGGATCCTTCATAAGCTATCCACCTGTGTAAGACCAGGAAAAAAAAGTAGGGTACTTAAAAATAAAAAGCAATACCTTATCAAAAATACCTTCTTTAAGCGCTGTGAATTGTGCAAGACTGTTGAATCTCAGATCTGTACCTCTGAAACAAATAATGCAATATATGTTAAGAAAAAAAAAAAAGAAGAAGAA